GGGCTAGACCAGTCTGCCGCGTGCCTTGGCCGCGATGTACGCAGTTACCGGTCTCCAATCGCGCCGGCGCCTTATGCGACGCATGCAGCATGCCGTGTTCTTGTCAGAAACCACAACGCGGCCTGCTGCCTGTCTCTTAAAGAAGTGGCATTGATGTGAAGCTTCAGGAAGATGCAACGGCAAGAAAGTACGCGGATCATAAGCGGCCCGGGGCCAAGAAGTTGAGGCTTAAACATTCAAGATCATCAGCAGCAAGGAGTGCCATTGTGGCTAGTGAATACGAATCCCAAAATAAACCAGCCGTCAGTGGCGTCAATCCTCCAATCTCGCCCCAAAGTGCCCAGGTTGTTGTTTCTCACTCAGATTTGCGTGCGAGAATCCACTTGGTGGCTCGTCCTCCTGGAAACCCCCCTGTTCGTTTCCCAGATCGGTTAGCATAAACACTGCCCCTATTCCTTTTTCTGTGGGACTGTCGAAGATTCATTTGCTCATTTGCGGCTGATGTTTGCCCAGCGCCTGGGCCTCCAGTTTGTTGGAACTTGGCCCTGGGCCAAGTGTTTCCCAGCGGTGGCCCCAGGGACCAGGTTCGTAGCTAGGCGGCAGCGTAACAGCCAGCAGCGGGCGGCAGTCGTGTGTTGTGGTGTTTTTCGATGTTTTCTCATTTCATTTCCCGGGTCTGGTTTTTCACTTTCCGTGTTCTGCACATCCACGCTCACTCACTGAACCTTCGTGGCACACTCCCGTCGCTGTTGGTCGGGGTATCGATGCTTGCCTGGGTCTGTTCTATAATTTCTTAATGATTTTCTGAATTCGTCATTCGTTACTTTGTGCTCTAGACGCCGCCGCCGCGTTCACTCGTTACACGCGCGACAATGGCGTTCGCATTGCCGCATCTTCTCTTCGCCATTTTGGCCGTTTTTCATTTTGGACCGGTGGCTGCAGCTGAAGGCGACATCAACCTTTGCGGACAGTCTGACCACTGGAACTCGACTGAGGTCCCATACTCTTGTAGGTTAACACTCTTATATACCATCGTGAGTGAGGCTTGTTGACATGGGCTTCTAGTCAACAACAATGCTTGGGGCAACGATAGCTCCGGCTACCAGTGCATGGCCGTGCATGATGGCGGTCGCAGCTTCGATGTCACCTACAAGTGGACAGGCGACGCTTCTCTTGTGAAAGGATTCCCCTACATGAAGGCGCATCCGTCGAGACTACCTGTGCAGCTGTGGAATGTCTCGCGACTTCAGTTCACCGCGGAATGGCAGACGTATGTGAAGGGCAAGGAGAGCGCCAGCGCCGACGAGCAGGCCAAGGCATTCGACGACATCAGCCTCTACGCCAACGTTGCCGTAGACATGTTCCTGTCCGACAACATCACCAACTCCACCGGCCTCAACGCGCCCTTTGAGATTATGATTTGGCCGTGGTGGGTGCCGACCGTCAAGCCTCTGGGCTGGGCCGAGTCCACGCCCGACACGGATACCGTCACCATCGACGGCACCAAGTTCTCTCTGTACCACGGCTGGAACGACGGCGGACAGCATGTCTTCTCTTGGCTGTCGCGCACCAACCTGACGAAGACGGACGCCGACTTCAGCCCGCTGTTGAAGTACATCTGGAAGAAGGGTCTGCTTTCCGGAGCTCTCTACCTGGGCCAGCTGGAGTTCGGGTCAGAAATCAAGCATGCCGGAGAGGAGGTTCACTTTGAGGCCAAGAACTACAACCTGAGCATCGTCAGACAGGGCGACCCGGAAGATATCACGACCTCGACTTCGACGACCTCATCGGCCAAGACATCAAAGACGCCTACACCGACGACGACCATTCCTTCCGAGATGTTGGTCTCCGCCACCTCAAGCATTCCGACCAGCACCAATGCGGCTGCTCCGACGGGGGTCATGAACATCATGCCCTGGTCGCTGGCACTTGCTGCTTACTTGTTATAACAACTAGATGTAATGTAGATGGTTCAATGTAGACACGGGATATCTGGCGTTCGTGATTGTAATGTTTGATTTTTCAATTGATGCAGTTGATGAGTCTTGCTATCAGGGCAAACACGTTCAGCTTAAAACTGCCTATACGTATATTAGATACAACTTATCTCTATTCTTTCTAAAGGAAAAGCAGGGGACTACATACTCTTCTCGTCTCCATTATCGCTACTGTCGCGTTGCTAATAGCGTCGTTGCTACTGTTGTGAACTGCATCTGCTGTAGTCGTACTTACCTCGATGGTTGGCATTGTTATGCATCATCACTATCCGTCCGGATTGCGAGAAACATCTGTCCGAATAGCAAAACCCTCATTGATCGTAGCCTGTGAACAGTTACTCACTGTTGACAGATCGGTGCTCACAAGTCACTGTTTCGATTCCATTGCTCAGAGCTCCTAATCACAGACTTAGTCGCATAGTGAAGAGTCGAGAATCTAACTCAAGATTCGTGCTTAAAAATGCTCCATGTCCCGAAGCTTTTGCTACCTGTTTAATACCTGTATTTTCCAGCAAACAACCTGACCATTGTAAGCATTCAAACACACGGACAAAATTCGACTAAGGTCTACGTCTCAATATCTAGCAATGGTGCAACCCAAAAAGACCAAGCCCAGCCCCTCGCGCAGCCACGGCGCCTACAAGTGCATATGTCACATATGCACTAATTGCACCTCTCTTGTTCCCGTTTACGGCAATTATTGCGCTGACTGCATAGTTGCTGGTCATTCTAGTCTTGCAGCAGTTTGAGTGCAGTTGCGATAGCAGTGGAAATGAGTCGCAAACGCGCGGTGGCGCTTCATGATCATGGAGGTATAGCGCTAGCGAAGAAGCATTCAAGTGCGGCGCTGCTGAATTCAACCTTAGTAGTCTTGCCTCATCTTATACAAGTTCTCTTTTCATGAGTGTCATATCTATCGTCTAAGGAAATCTAAAGAGAGCGACGCGCAATTCTATGAGTCTACGACTCTATGTCTTCCTCCTACTCTCTACTTCCCGCAGCTGTTGCTCTTCTCCTCTATCATGCTCTACGCTCATGTCCATTCTCATCCCAGTGTTCTGGTTCTAGTCGTCTTCGTCTATATCAAAAGCACCGATTATATCCAACTTCACGCCTCCGGTTTTGCATGCGGCAACAATTTCCTTCGGCACACTGCCATTATCACCCTGAACAGCCACGACAGTCTTGAGCATGCTGTGAGTGACACTCGCCACCTGCAACGTGTATTCGAGCAACTCGGTGACTTCCTCATCCGTCCCAAGCTCGTTGAAAAATTCCAAGACTTCCAGGTTTGGTGGGAGACCAACAGAGTGCATGCGTGGCTTCTTTGATGACTTGCCAAAAAGCTGGTAGTCCCAGTTCAACCTCAACGACTTGACCTTCTCAAAATCTCTCATCCTGACGGGTTTCCTGCCACCAAGCGTTGGGTGGTCGATGGTGATTGCCTCGAGTGAGTGACCCTGGGAGTTGAGTGCTAGGATGTAGTCGCTAAAATTGTCTGAACTCTCTTCCAATTCCGGGCTTGGCTGCTCCAACTGCGTCATAACGAACTCCTTCAAACCCTCGGGAAATTCGAGAATATCCGACAGCGCATCATCATTGATGTCGCACTCGATGAGATGCAGCTTGTGCAGCGCTGTTTCGTGGGGTCGCTCAATGAGGTCGAAGCCGCGGTAATCCAGCTTCGCTCGCCTGATGACTAGCGTCTCCAGTGTCGGGTGCGCAAAGATGTGGACATTCTCGCGGAGATCCCAGTACGCATCGTCGGGACACTGGTAAAATAGCGTGCAGTGCTTCAAGCAAGCCAAGTCGAAGGGGCCATTGAAGAGAGCGCCGATTCCGTGAAGCAGAGTGACGGGGACGGACACCTCGAGGGTCGCGAGGTTGCTCATGGTGCTGATGGTTCGACTGAGGGCCTCAAAGCGGGTCGGCGGGTGGTGTGAGCCATGAATCGGCCCATCGAGTCTCAGGTGCGAGAGTTCGTGGGCGGGATACTCGAGGCTGACGTCCTGGATGGCAGAACCGCGACGCATGCGACGGCTGAGGGATTCTGAGAAGACGAGGTGCTGCTCTGGGTCGTCGAAGCGCACCTGGCGATAGAGGATGGCGTCGGCGAGCTCATGCCAGGCCCTATTGACACGACTCACGGCGCAAAGGTCGCTGCGCGAGGTGCGGCCGACGGCCTCGAAGATGTGCAGGAGCAACTCATCGGGGAGCAGGGCAAGCTGCCTGGGGACGGAAGTCGTGACGGACAGGATGCGGGATTGCGCTCGTGAATGCGACGACTGCGCTTGTTGAGCTTGCTGAGCTTGAGCTTGCGATCCGGCCTGCGGGTCGGCATTTGCGCCCGTCGTGGAATCGCGCGACATCCTGGTCCCACGATGAGTTGAAGAGTGGGAGAAGTGGATCCAAAAGATGAGGTTCGCAGTCTGATAACGGGATGTTGCTGATAAAGTCTTGGACAGATGGCTGATAACGGCATTATGTCAGCATCCTCTCGGTATCGCCGCAAGCGGTGAGCCAGTCATCGTGTCTGAGAACGGTCTGATTGGCTGCACATTCTGCCGCTCCCAGCTTATCGATAAGCGTCTCAGTGTCGATAAGAACGCGACCGTCTCTCACGGTGAAGCCGCCCCTGAAACTGTTGCACTCCTGAGAGCGTCGGAGGCCTTGCCTGCCAAGCAACCAGCCATCTCAATCAAATCATACACGCAGCAAGTACATTACTGTTTCTGTGAGTACAAATGAAATGCGTCTCAAAAGAAGGGTCTTTGGCGATACTTTGCACGAGATTTCGACCGGTCGACAGGTGCTGATGCCCTGCGAGCTAAGTGTGCATGCAGCTCATGATAAAGCGATCCAATCACGAGTTGCGTGACACTGAATAAAATGGCAGTCATCTGACCCAATGCCGGGTCGCACACCCGCATGCCAGCCCAAAGTGCAAATCTCTCAAAACACCCTCTCGGAACCATGTGAACACAGCGCCCAGCAGTCGCCATCATGTGGCTCATTGACGTCGAGACGCTGCAGACTGAAGAGTTCTTTGGCAAAATCCCTGAGTACGCTATACTCTCTCATACATGGCACGGCACGGATGAGGTCACTTTCAGGGAGTGGGAACAGCGGGACTCAGCTGCGATCCAGTCAAAGTCGGGTTACACCAAAATCCTCAACGCCTGCCATCAGACACAGAAAGAGGGTCTGAGGTACCTGTGGGTTGACACAAATTGCATCAACAAGGAGAGTTCGGCAGAGCTTTCTGAGGCAATCAACTCCATGTTCGCCTGGTATCGAGACGCCCAAGTTTGCTTTGCGTTTCTAGACGATGTTCAATTCGGCCCACCATTTTACTACACCTCCTCTGACCTATCAGATGAGAGAACGGGATTGGAGATTGATGACGAAACGGGTTTCATTTACAGTCGCTGGTTCACCCGTGGTTGGACTCTCCAAGAGCTCCTAGGCCCGACGCGGCTCATATTCTTCGACTGCAACTGGAAGTCACTAGGCACCCGCAGTTGGTTGTCTCGACGTATCTCAACTGCCACAAACATAGACGAATTTTATCTTGCAGACGCCTTTGTCGGAGATCCTTCCTCTAGATCGGTGGTGATAGAAAAGCCCAGTATATCGGAAAAGATGTCATGGCTATCCACAAGAAAAACAACGAGAGTCGAGGACTTGGCCTACTGTATGTTGGGTATCTTCGACTTGAACATGCCTCTTCTATACGGCGAGGGTATGAAAGCTTTTGCTCGGTTACAAGAAGAGATCATCAAAGGTTCCAATGACCAGACAATATTTTGTTGGCCTTGGGATAAAAATATTGTTCCGTTGAACTGGGGCAGCTTGCTTGCGCCTGAGCCATCACTATTCAAGGACGGGCGTCTTTATGGATCAACATCGACCGTTCATTGGTCGCCATGGTCAAAGACAACATCGTACGTCATGACGAACGCCGGTTTACGCATCAGATTTCCTACGCTGAGACTGGGTGGCGGAATAGAGCTGGCCATTCTCACTGCTCACCACAACAAACACTTCCTACAGAGTCGAGTTTGTATCACTTTGAAGACAATCCTTCCGCTTGGAGAGGCAACCAAAAGCGTCGTGGACGATTCCGCCACAATAGCGCAGAGATTCCCGATCCCACCGGACCTAGTCGTCCTCAACGAGCTAGACGCATTGTCTAATTCGGCCTCCGCGCTCAAGGAAGTTTGCATTCGCCCGTTACCCAATCTCAATGTAGACTTAGACGCGGCTCTGCGAGGCTGGGAGCTGGGGATATCTCGGTCGAGGGTGAGCGCGTCGGCAATTTTACTTATCTTTGATGATGCTGTTGGCTGTGACTTGTTTGGAGCTTTCCCGATTGGGGGCACATCGCAGCTACGGCTCGAGCCACTCTCCAGGAACTTGTTTCCGGTGGCACCCTCTGATACATCGTCTACCAGTGCTACAGAGTTTTACTTCGTCCAAGCTAGCGGAGCACATCTAGCCAGCCTGGTTGTAGGAATTCACAGACGAAGCGAAAATACATATTTCCCTGGCATTTTGGACGTGCCTGACTGGTTTTGTTATTTCAAGGAGCATGAGAGACATTTTCCCTCAATCTATGACCGATCCACATCAGCCGTGACCCCTGACGGGCGTATATCGGTGCGACTGGATTGGAGCGTGTTCAAAACCGACGGCTTTGTAATTAAACCGGTCTATATCTTGCCAGGAAAGATGCCTTTCAGATATTGAGATATAGAACAAGAGTGTCGAGGAGTTTAGTAACCAGTGAATAGATGGGAGTTCTCTACCATGTTCGTATGTTTGCTAGTACAAAGATAGCAGCCAAGTAACAACTCGCGGATACCAAATAGGGCATGCCCAATGCCGCACCACCCAAAGCGATCGCCTTCACCCAAAGAACCATCATAAGCGGCGCCCCAAGCAATGATCCAGATGTCTTAACCATCATTACGATGGAAAAGATGTGAGAGTCCGGGTCTGCAGTGTCCAGCTGCTGATCATTCCGTTTGGGGGCAATGAACGGCGACTTCAACAATGATAGAGTGAAGACCGGCAATGCGGAGCCCAGTGCATACAGGAAAAGGGACGGAACAAGCATCCAAGTACTTGTAGCCACAGAAATTGCCAAAGCGCCGAGAACAGACACGATGAGGCAGACGTTGGCATAGTACATGTTCATCCGGTGACTCGAGAGCTCAGGCGATAGGTGCCGGGAGGCGTTCCGACGCGAGCGAAGCAGTGCTGGAATGATGACGGTCAGAAGGGTGAAGTTTACTACGGCCTTTGCCGAAAGCAGATAGCCAGTGGAGGCGAATGTCCAGTGGTACCGCTTTGAAATGTACTGAACCAGGAGCTTCGTATCTGAGCTTGCGAGAGAGGTCAAGACGTAACTGATGAGCAGAAGCGTCATATTTCGCGGATGGCTCGCAATGATGGAGCGCAAGACGCCAAATCGTTGGATGACAGATCTCACTAGTGAGGGATTGGCGTTCTGGGCTTTCAAGACTGGGGAAGAGAGAAGTGGACGCGACTGCTCATCTCCATGGCGTGCCCTGGATGAAAGTGAATGGGCAGAGGACGAGTCTTCGACAAGAGAGATGGCCGGAATCGCCAGGAGGAGGAGGCATATCCCAATCCAGAAGGGAAGCCATAGTAGCAGGCTCATGGTGGCCGATGCAAGAGCGGGGCCAAGAAGCGCTACAACATAGGAGACGGAACTCATCCAGCCGAAATATGTGGCCCTTCGAGACCCGGTTAGCTTTACAGATACGTGGCGGGAATGGACGACATGCTTACCTCTCAACGTGATCATCGGTCATACTAGACGCGATTGCGTACGTAATCGAGTTGAACACACAGTCGCCCCCCAACACGGAGAGAAACGGAGAGGCAACGATGGCTCGAGTCGGGAGCGCCTGTTCGAAATAACCGACGAGAACGGCCCAGGCCAACATGAAGATCCGAGGTACGAGGTTAAGAGACAGGATAGTGCGCCGGCCGTATCTCTCAGCAAAGAAACCCAGCGGTATGGTCATGACAAAATCTAGAATATCGTCAACCGTGTTTCTTCCCGACATGTGGCAATCTAGTCCTTACCTCCCACGATCCACGCCGTTTCCATCGTTCCTTGAATCCATGCCAGCCGTTGCTGAACGCTGTCGATCTTGCACAAGGTTTCGTCCACACTGCCATCCCGATCGATCACCGAGGGATCCGCAGCCAGGTAGTGCTCGCTACAGAGTCGACGCTCGACGACTCTGTTCAGGGGCAGTTGATAGAGACTCGCGGCCAGATTCACCAGCAGCACCAAGGCAAGGAGGGCACCGATCCCCGCTTTCCGCGACTTACGCGGGGCTTGCGGCAGCGCGTGGCCATCGGATGCAACGTGCTCGCCCTCGGCGCCGCCCACGGAAGTTGACATGATCCACAGATCGCGTGGTGAATCTGGGGTTGACGGAGTTTGGCATGCGATTAATGTTCGGCCGGAGCGCGGGGAATTTCGGGACACTGGGGTCAACTGCGTGATGACTAAGCGTCTATCCTCCCGCCAGATTTCTTTAAGCTACAAACAAACATGATGCCGATGGCCATGGGACGAACATGGCGCTAGTTGATAAAGTCAAATTCATACACTGATTTGACGGAATTCTTCAGCCATCAAAACGAACAGTTCCTGACGCGGGATGTAATTCTTTACCCCGGTGGTGGCGTTCTCAATTTGCTTAATTAGGTCGCATATCAGATCCGAAGCTTGTCAACGTCTTCCCCTCTTCGGCTCTTGACCACGGGAACCTAGTGTCAAAACACGGGTGGGATTTTTAAGAAAAAGACGAATTATTTGTCGTTTGAGCTTACCTCATGTTCAATATTCAAACCACACAGGCATAGCGGACTGCATCCGCCACCCCCGTTCGCTGATCATGAAGCTAAACCTCTATTGGAACCTGTCAATCCTGACGGCGTAGGCAGCTACGGTAGCTGTCCAGAGTGCCGGTAGACGACTTACCGTTTGGTAAGTTCGGTTTTGAATCTCAAAGTTGAAGTGACGGCGGCCATCCGTGGCTCAATCAATCAATTTGCCGGAAGCCTTGATTACTCTTTTCAGTCTACTCTACAGATAGAATCAGGCTGGCTGAAGCCCTGTCGCAACGCGCCTCAACCCTGCGCTGCCAAGCATGCATTATTAGCCAATTATCCACATCCGTTGGAAGCCGGCAACGCAATCTCCTGACATATCTCTCCACTTGTGAGCGGCCGGGTAATCCTACTTAGGCAACGACTCGCTAAGCGCACCCAACAACCTCGACGACCAACACCATGCAGGGGTTGCCCACCCTTTTAAACGATGCCCAGCCTGCTCGGCACCCCTGAATCTCAAAATCGATCTTTGGTACTTCAGTTGAATTGAAGACGCACCCCCGTTCCACGCTGAATCGTCAAACCTAACACAGCTCAATTGTATGAACCACCAAAATGACAACGTTACTCGACCTGCCCACAGAGCTGGTCTACAAGATCCTCTCCGAGCTAACGGAACCCAATCCGGGGCCATACCGGTTTCGCTTCGAAGATGCCAAGCCATCCTTCAGCACCGAGCGCGTCAATCAGAGTTTGTCGACAATGGCCAAAGTCTGTCGCACATCGCGCACACTTCGCGACCTCATTGAGCCACTGCTCTATGAGTTCGTCTACATTCCCGACGCAACCGCGAAGCCACTTCTGTCGCTTTTGAAATGCTGGAAATCTCGGCCTCACTGTGCTGGATACACAAGACGATTCACGGCAGAGACGAAGTGGGCTGCTGGAGGAACACCTCCTCAAGTCATTGACAAGGAAGATGTCGCATTTGTCTCTGAGATAGCGGAGCAACTCAAAGTCTACTTGCGTGGGACTTGGCACGAGTATACCTGGAATACAGACATTCTCATCGAGCTCGCAATGTTTCAGGCGCACCGCATCCAGAGTATTGAGCTGGAATTTTGCCAGCGCAGGGGAATCTACCGCCCAGCGTTCGAGAGCCTTCTTCCCGAACTTGGCAATACGACACACATTAGCTTCCCAGGCCTCGACTATCTCTACGTCTTACAGGCAGGGTTGAGAGCAGGCGAGCTCGATCATGTGCTAGAGCGGGCGCCAAATCTCACCAAACTCCGCCTCTTCATGTGCGATTTCAACTATCCGAGCCAGACTCTGCCTGCCAATCTCACAAGCCTGTGCATCTTTCAATGCGTAATCACGCCCTCTCGTCTAGAGACCATCATTTCAAGTATGGAAAAGTTGAGTCGGCTGGAGTGCACTATCTGGCGCGGCCAGCCAGAGGATTTGGCTAGGGTTATCACTTCTCTATCGAAGCACGCAAAGACGTTGAAGAGTCTCACAGTGTCTTTCAGATGGAATCGAAGGCCTGGAAGTTCGAGAGTGAAGGTGCCCTTAGAGGCGCTCACCAGCCTTGAGTCACTGACCACTGACGTTCAAAGTTTTGGTTTTGGAGGCACAGGTTTGATACAATCCCTGCCCGCATCTATACAGAAGCTGCGCATCATCAGATCACTGGAAACAACGAAAGATGAGCTGGCTTGTTTCTACACCGAGCTTTGCGCGGCACGGACGCGCGGGATGGAAAACCTAAGAGTTCTATTGTCGGGGCCTGAATATTGGGAAGAGCTAGACAGCGATCACGACACTGTCTTTGACGGTTCGATGCTTTTCTGAGCTCGTCAAGTCATTTTTCAGATGCATGCAGTGGTACCACTCAAACTTGTCAGCCGATGGAATTGAAACAAAGCCAAAATAATATTACCACAAACACCTAAGATGTCTATAAAAATGGCCAAACTACTCGCCTTATCTAATATGCTTTCCCCATTCCCCTTTCTACTTATTTTCTCTTCGTTCTTTTCCTCAATGTACCTTTCATGACTGTTGTTGACTTGCGTCATGTGCGCTGATGATCGAAATTCTGGCCCTGGACACAGAATCAGTAAGAGGTGACAAAGCGACTACTGTCGGGACGAATTTCCAGTGCTGTTCGAAGAGTTGTAAGAGTTATCAGCAGAACTATCCGGGTGTGGAAACGCATCACCAATAGCACCGTACGGGTTTCGGCCACCATTGGTAGCCGGGGAGCTACCAGGAAGAAGACGGCCATCACCAATGGCACCGAAACTCGTTGAATCATGGACGAAGTCTCGACGCCGACCCCGGTTGGCTCGGGCATTGGGCGGCGGGAATGGGTGTTGGTTAATGGACCCGTGCGAGTCCGGAATCTCGTAGATCACTGGGTCGATGTCCATGTCTTCGCACAGCGCCATCGGAAGTGTATGGTAGAACTCGGTCTTCTCATCTTCATAAGACTGTCCACTTCCAAGTCGAGGAGCTGAAAAGTCAAAAATGGAGAGACCGGCCCACTCCTTCTGGGGTTGAATAGAGAAAAGAGAAGGAGCTCCGAAAGTACGTAGAGGGTATTTTCTTCTGATTTGCCGATCATAACTTTCTGGCTGAGGGAACCGTTGAGGGGCAGCATCGGGAAGGTTGACAGGTACTTGAGGCTCAGGCTGGCGGTATCCAGGCTGTGGTCTCCTGTCAGCTGGATACAGTGCATATGGAATTGCAACTCGAGGGTCATCGTAACGAGCATGTCCACATTGAACTTGCTGTTCTTGTTGGCACTGGTGGCACATGTATCCCATGCGCTTGACCTGGGTTTCTTCAAAGTCAGGGCAGCGACCTTCGGGGGATACTCTTGGGTTAGTGGAAATCTCGGCTGGTTGCTCCAGCCACCATCTTCCGCAACGTTCTATGTCTTCCCATTGCGCCTGAGACTTCACGTCAGTGACGTGACCTATTTCATCGGATCGGAGAACATCGTTGCTGAGTTCGCAACCCTGACGCTGCGGACACTCCCGGTTAATACAGGGGCAGATGGTGTATTTGTTGGTGCCGTGACACATGTTGATTGATTGGAAATGTAATCTGGAGGTGTGATCGGGTTGATAAAATGGCTATTCGAAATTGTTGTATTAAGTGATGATGTGTAGATAATGGATGCTGTTGTGTTTGAGTGACTGATGAGGCTAACATATTTGCTACGGGTTGGCTCTTCGTTATATAATACGAAGAGGGGCAAATGGCACGGAACTAACAATAGCATTGTTCTTGAAATAATTCAGCTTTTCACAAAGAGGAATGACAAGAAGATCAAAGGGATCAGAGGTCTCATATCATGAACAAACAAGACGAGTCCAAGGCCTCGAGACAATGCGGTTGCACCTGCGATCAAATTGTTCTGTTACTTGTTCTTTATTTAACCAATTGAAGATCCAAAGCGAGGGCATCTGCGGTGAAAGAGATTGTGGTGCAGTTGCAAGGTATGAGAGCGACGCGTTGTCCGCCATTGATTTATCACAGCGGCTACTCTCACAATGGGACTGCTTCTTAGACATTAGAAACGACAACGGGGATTGTAGTTGAGCCCTTACACATCAGAGAGCTCACCTTGCCCTGTGAAATACTCCAGGTGTTTGGTTTGCGGTGCCAACCAGACGCTTATTGCTCGTCACGATACACGACCGAGGTATCTGGGTGGTCCATGGTGATGAAGAACCCGCGGGCCTAGATAAGGCGGAGGAAGGTTTGGCTTTCAATGTCAGAACAAATGTTTCGAAGCTGAGATAGGGACTTCATTTTCTCATTCATACGCCATTGGGTATCTTTTCCTCTCTGTCCGCCAAACAAACTAATGCCAGTTGATTATGCAGAGTGCCCTCCCATACTTGCACACACTGTCGAGACCGGGGGACCTTTATCCAGCCTCACGTCACTCAGCATCCGACGCCATAAACCCGCTCCCGTTCGACGACGCGCTCGACCCGTTCAGGAAACGGTCGTTTTCTCTCAAAACTGCCCCTTCTCCATCTACGACGTTCGTATCTTTCACGATAACATCGGTCGTATTCATCGCGCTTGGCAATGTCCTCCAACAGGATGTCCTTCTGCTCCCTCTCGCCAGCGAGCATGGCCTGGAGTATCTCCACCTTTTTGAAGAGCTCGTCAACCCTTGCCGACCTAATGTGCTCGTCTGCGAGCTTTCTCTCAAGCTCCGCGATTGTGCGTAACAGTTTTTCGACTTCGTATCGTCGGCCTTCGTGAAGCGTGTGGTTTTCGCGCTCGATCCGGAGTTCCTCTTCGAGAATCTCAACTTTGCGCACAAGGTCCGAAATGCGACGCTCGTACCCATCCGTTGGCGGAAATCGAAGTCTTTCTTCTGCAAGGAGCTCCTCCAATTCGTCGACTCGGCGCAGCACCTCGCCCGCTTTGCGCTCCCAGTGCTCGACCCTCCTTTGCTCGCGCTCCAGGTCCAGCAGCAACCGTGCGTTTCGGTCCTCCAGATCCTTTCTCCAAATGCGGTTGTCTTCCTCCGAAATCCAAGTGCTCCGGAGAATCCGAATTTCCTCCCTGCTCTCGTTCAACCGAAGTAGACAGCTGTCGTAGTCTCTGGCAAGCTTGTCATGGCGGCATTTCAGATCATCGTAATGGTGCGACTCATAGCCCCGACCGCGCAACCTGTCTTCCAGATGCTTAATCTTCTTATGCAGCTCCGTCCGAGAATGCTCGTAGCACAACTTGTCAGATCCTGTATCGTTGAAATTGAGGCACTTGTCGATCTTGCAGCAGTGCTCTTCGCAATAGCCAAGACGAAGTCTGGCTTTATTGCCGCAGCCAGATCTTCTGCATTCGTGTTCCTCGCAAAATGTCCCCCCTCCTATACGAATTCTGTCGCATCCATCCCAATTGCAAGAGTGCTTTTCACAGTACTCGCCACTTATACAAACTTCGCGGCAGTCGGTAGTCCTGCAGGTATGTCGGCGACAATAGGTGCCAAAAGCCCCCTTTTTGACAATAATTGCGACGGCATAGCAACGGGTCACCTCGCAGCCGTGATCGCGGCAGAATAGTCTTTCGACGTCTTTCTCGTTGTCGCGAAAATTCAGACAGCCCTCAAAGGTGCATTTGTGATAGCCACAGTACCGACAGTTGGGGAGACACAATTTGTCGCAGTCTTTGTAGATGCATCGTAGCTCTCGGTAGTCTATTTTCACGTTAGCCTCTCAAGATTCCATACAAGGAAAGACAAGTGCATTACGCTTCTCGCAATGATCCCATAATCCATCCTTGTGCCGATGTCGCCATAATTTGCAGTCTTTGAAAGGGCATTTCTGGTGCTTGATGCAGCGGAAATCCAGATGGACCGTTTCGCGGCAGCCCTCTTCGCGGCAAATCCTTGCCACGTGGTCGATGCAATAATCCGCGTCCAGTATTCGTCTTTCGAAGCATTTTCCAGTCGAACAACGGTGGTCTTTGCAGTAGCCACAGTCCCCGGGCCTTTCCTTGAAGCATCCCTCGACGCGGCAGATGTCTGTTCGAGCTGCCAGTCAGCGTCATGCTCCCGGACTCTGCACCAGGCAAAACTTACGGCTCGAGCAAAACCACGGCAAAGCGACGCCGAGCGGACAATCCCCTCGACGTGTGCAGTCTTTGAATCCGCACTCCCGGTCTGCAAAAAGCAAATTGTCAGATACTTGGTCATGACGGGAGGAAAGGGGACTTACGCAGAGAGCAGAAGCGATGTCGCTTCTCTTTTGATCGCGTGCACATAGACTCGCCAAAGACGCAGAACTTGCATGTATCTAGAAAAGCTTTTCAGCCACCTGCATGGGTTGAAAGATTGAGGATATTTTGATGACTTACGCTCCACGCAAAACTCGGAGTACAACCTGATGGATCCCTCTCGACGTATGTAGGCATGCTTCCGGGAGCAACCTTTGACACCGCAAATCCTATCCCACTCAGATCTTGAAGAGCAGGTCGAAATGCAGCTTGAACAGCTGCAGCTCGAACTACAACTGGAGCTGCAAGTCGAACATGACGACGAAGATGATGAGGAGCGAGAAGGCAGAATCAGGCCCATGGTGAGTTCCGGTTTCTTGGTGACAAGAGCAGCGTGTCCAGAATCCAGAAGAGGGTTCTGTCTCGCTCAGTCGTCAACTGCGGCCGAATCTCATACAGATCGGTGAGGTGACTTGGTAGTCGGTGGAAAGTATGGGCTGTGGAGGAAAGGGTACCATCTACCAAGAGAGAAGAAGGAAAGAGGAAAGAAAATTGGCGACTGGAAGAAAATGGCGGAGGTTTCTCTGAAAGAAGGATGACCCGAGGGAGGTCAAGGTGAATGCAGGAGCACGTCCAGGTGAAGGTGTCTGACTGGGACAAGGACCCCGTGAGGTCAAGGTGACAATAGCTTCATCCCAACTTTTTGAGGTGGTGTGGCTCAGCTTTGTCCGGACCATCTCAGGCTTTGAGAAAAGCCCGACCACGCGACCAGCTGGAACACCTGTCCTACCAAGTCTTTGCTAGCTGAATGTTTCCCTATCCACCAAATTTAGTTCTAAGAAATGAGCTTTCGAGATATGAGATGTACGAAATTGAGGACATCACGTCTGCAGCATGGGCAACATCTGAAATCGTCGCATTCGCCGTTGGGCCTTCCGCAAACTTTGCGCAATCATCCTGATCATATGATTGGACTTCAGCTTGCGCAAAGACTTTTTCTAAGCCCAGTTTCGACGGAGAAAACTGCCGGGTGCATTTGCATCTTGCAGCACATTCAAGCAAATAGGAATACAAGCTGCAAGATCCAGACATGGTGTAGTTGCTTCAACATAAACTTGCACCTCACCTTGAACACATTCGTCATTCGTCAAAACCAAACGATCTTGACATGCAATATTGGGTTGCATTCTGCCGGTTCAGACCGAACATACGGCCAGCTGAAGGATCGGCCCCTCGAGAACAGACGCCCGACAAGACGCAGACGAAACGACACTAAGCTGACAGCTGTTCGGAGCGGACCAGCTATGAAGTCTAAATGACGCGCGGATACGCAACCCGACCGGAGAATCGAAATGGGGACCCGATGAAGAAAAGGAGATCGGAGGAAGAGAAGTTGGGGGCCACCAGCCAGTAAGCATGAGCCACACGTGGTCCCTTGAACCATCCGGCTGATGGTGGGTTGAAGCTCCCAAAGGGTCTCAAACCATCACATGGAGGGTCAATCGTGTGGCATGCGCCCATCGAGCTAAGACAAAACCACCAGAAGACGACCGGCCAATTACGTCACGCCACTCTCTGTGATGTCAATACAAAAAGGGGATAATTCCAGGCCTTCAGCTAACAGATGGTCGCATCATAGTCAAATTACTCTTGCAGTGAATTCGAGGATTCCAAGTAATGGGACTGCCAAATGATTTTGGCTGTGAAGGCATTCGTGGCAATGTCTCAAATAAGACCAAAGCATACTGGCAAAGCTCAGCCGAACGGAAAGCCTTCCATCATTGCGCGTCTGTTTTGCGCCAATCATGGATAAAGACGGCATGTCAATTGGCAACCAGCCGACAAAAGCCGCCTTCAGAGCCTTTACATTCTTTGCTGTTATGTCACTCAATTTACCACAAAACATTCACATTAGGAACAAACCAAATACATCTCGCAATACTGTTTGCTCTATTGAAATCCAAGACTCAACGTGGAAAGCCACGGGATTGCGAGTCGGCTGTTGATCTCTCCGATGCATTGAGTGGTGCCGCTATGTCTAAGCGTTTGGCTGCTTCTCTGGATCGTGTCGAATAATCAATCGGGTTGTGCATTCGCTTCATTCGCCTCGTCCTTAAATCCGCCATGGACCGCACCACTTAATGCACATGTTTCTCGAAATACACACGCGTTCGGTCGCCGGAACTTTCAAGGTGACCGGCAAAGCTGGAGAAGATCCTATTTGACAGACAGCTATCTCCAACGTCTGACAGACCGAGGGGTCGGACCATTTTTAGGCAAAGCGTTCCTGGACACAGACCCTGTCTACACCTCGGACCTGACGATCTGACCCATGAGTTCCTCCAGCACAGACGCCGCCTTACGCAAATCCGGAGCTTCGCCATACCAGCGCTGCAAAGCCCATGTGGCCGAGTCCACCGCATGTTTCCATCGGTCCGGCAGTCGGAACCTACCGCTCTTGACCGCCGCCAGGACCAGAAGAGCACGGGTCATCGCCGCTCTGGCCATGAACCAGGTTCCGTGATGGCGATGGTGCGGATTAGCGTCGAGTAGCAGCTCGACTGCGATCTCAAGACCCTTCTCCGCTAACGGCAAGACGCGGGGAATCCATGCGTCGTCGGGGGGCTGGTGGATTACGTAGTACACGAACGGGCGATGGATCCATTCGCGACAACTCTCCGCTCGGTTTTGGATGTAATGGACTAGCTCATTACTAGAGTGTTCGCGATTTTGCCAATTGATCTGTGACGGAATATGACAGCACCTACAAGAAGCATCAGCGGCCAAGCTTCGTAGCAGAGATTTTCGAGGATCATAGCTCAGGGCGGCCAACTACTCACCAAACATTGATCTGTTGATCAAAGTCTTCATATTTCTCAATGACTTTCGCAATATTTCGAATCCAAGCTTCTTCACCATGGTAACCCATGATCGATATCGCCCGGTTGATCATCCTTCGAGACGAGATTTCAGCGAGGTAGTAAAACCAGCTTTTCTCCTCTTCTGGCTGGATATCGTCTTCAAGAATGTCCAGCGAACTTGGCTGTGGCGCTGGCGTAGCAACCTCTGAAGGAGGCGAAGGAAACAAGTCAGGGTAGCTCAATCGAGTAATGCCGCTCGAAGGCAGGGGTATCTCGCATCTCAGCTCGCTGCAAGATCGCATTAGTCTGCATCATGTGCGTAGTAGAGGCTCAGTACTGACCACTCAGATTTCATGCACGACCAGTAAAGCCGCTGCTCAAGGCGTCGTGCTTTCTGGGACATATTTTCGGGTGCTCGTCGTTGAGTCCGCCTCCACAGGAGATTCTTGAACTGCACGCAAGCCTGGTTGAAGTACGACCAGGCAGGGAGAGGTCGTAAAGAATACATCTCAAATACTCCACAGAAGAACAGGCACTGCACTTGAAGTAGGGAGGGTTCCAGAAGACCGAGTCGTTTCTTCGCCGCAAAGAAGTAGGCCTGGGCAGTATCTGGATCGGTGGAATTTGACGCTGTCGAACGGATAGATTCAGGTGTGCTATTCAGAAAACTGTCCTGTTCGAAATGGGTGGCCAGGCAGGCCAGAGCGCAGGCTATGAGCTACGGAGGCATAAGCAAGTGAATTAGTGACGCGAAAGAGACAGCACCGACTTACTACAAGACACGATGGGCCGTCCCAACGTGGACCATTCTCAATCGCGGCCTTGACATGCGCTCTGAAGTCGGGTACATCGAGAACTGGATTCTTGACATGCACATATGCCAAGAACTTTTTCGAGAGCACAGTGAAGTCATCTTCTTGTACTCCTCGCCCAAGACTGGCTGCGTTATTCGATTTCCTTACGTCCATACAATCAGGATCGTCATCTTCAAGTTCGAGGATGAAGGAGTTGATCTCAGGAACAGTGTCCCTGAATATTGGCCATCTTAATATCGTCTCACAGTTCCAACTTGCCGCCGCAAGATCCGGAATATCAAACCGGGTCATAACATCGTCTTCTGGCAGGCCATCGTCTGTCTGGCACTGCGTCTCATCTACAACAGCGCAGGAACCCCCCTGGGGTCCATTGATCGAAGTCGGCGACAAGATCTGGTTGCCGTGTGGGATAGTTGGGATGCATGTGGGCTCAGCCGCCGGGAGCGGTGCCGGTGGGCGGCTCTCCAAAAGATTAACTACATGATTAATCCTATCCAGGATTGCCAAGCTAGCTGGATCAAATCTGCGACGGAATATTTAGAATAGGTATGCCCAGAAATAATGAGGAAATACTCTTACGTTGAGAAATCGTTCGTTGTGTCTGGATAGGTACACAGGCCGCCGTTCCGTTGGCAAAAACCACAGGCGGGCCGCACGTTGTCGCACTTCGTCTTGCGGACTCGGCATGGCCCACAGGCGGCCACGGCACGCCTTCTTTGGTACATGCCGGATGTACGGCGCCTCTTGTTCCCCGCCTCAGGGGTCTCAGAACCCGCATCAGCGCCCGACATGGTTATGATACTGCAGAACCAGGCAGTCGTGTATTGCAACCTGTGGGGATAAAGGGCGCTGGATAGGGCGTAGGATATCTGAGAAACCTTTCTACGACGTATGATAACGGGACTTGCCCGAGTGATTTGATGGAGGCGGCGTGCTGAAGAACTTGGGACAATGGGCGCGGGGAGTAGCGGAGTTATGAAGGAGTCCTGGAGCCCCTGAAAAGCGAAAACGAGGGCAGGGGTTCTCCAGTTGAATATCGTGGCCCCTCTACCCCATCTTGGTTAGCGTGCTCGCTGCTCTGAGTCGTTGCAACTGTTGGAGCCTATTGAGTGACTGAAGGTTAAAAGCTGACTGGTCTAGGTGACTAGGTCTGTATTGTTGGCAAGACGGAAGATCCCTATTGATGATTGAGATATTTTGAAATTCATGCATCGCCTTCGCCATCAGACTCTACTTGATGCATTGCCCTAGCTCTTCGCTGCACCCATGCCTCGCAACCTATTTCGTCGTACTTCGGCTTCTCCCCGTCTTTAATACAAGTATCCAAAACACCGCAACTCTCATGCAGACCAAAACCGAAGAAGAAAGGCATGCTAATCCTTTCATCTCCGCTCAGATTCTGAGCACGATGAACAGTGCTGATGTAAAGATCGTTGGTAATGCGTTGTAGATAGTCAGCGATATTGACAACAAAAGTTCCCGGAATCGGCGCTGCTCTGACGAGAGAACACAAATGAGTATCAGGCTCGCTTCTTTTTCGAAGTGGTATGGACTTACCTGATCCATTGTCCCTGGCGATTCAGAACTTGCAATCCCCCAACGGCATCTTGCCAAAGAATGGTGAAAAGCTGGAAGTCCGTGTGCGATCCGATCGATACTTGTGCATCAGCGTCGGCTTGAGCACCGTGCAAAGCCTTCGTTAGCGGCGGGTAGTAATTGAGAGCCAGCGCAGCATCCGGATACGCAAACTTGGCGTCGAAGTGATCTTCCGGCAGGTCCAGAGACAATGCAAAAGCTCGCACTAGCACACGAGCAAGTTTCAGGCATGACTGCCAGTAACGGATGATGGAGCTTTTGAACTGCGGCTTATTTGAAGTACCTTCCCAATGGAAATCTTCTACCCGGAGGAAACGCTTCGCATCGTCTGGGATGGACTCAACGTCGTTGATATCAGGATCATGACGAGGATCGTAGGTCCAGCTAAACGTCTCGCGAACATCAACACTCTCTGACTTGTTGATACGCTGGGATCCAGGAGGTTTGTAGCCGTTGAAATAGCGACTCTTGCCAACCCATGAACGCATCTTCGCCTCTTCTTCCTGGCGAAAGTACTCGAGACAGGCTTCGTGGGCGGCGTCAGTGACGGACGAGTCGATGCCATGGTTGGTAATGTAAAAGAAGCCTGAAGAAGTTGCAGCTTGGCGGATCTGTTGAGCTACTAGTTTTCGGCTTGCAATATCCCTGCTGAAAGACGGCGATATGTCAACGAGTGGAATCTCTGTAGAAAGAGCATCACGAAGTGGTGTGCGGAGAATCCGTCGCGTGACCGGGCCATTCCCGGAAGCGAAACGAAGAAGTGTTGTCTCCGGCTCGGACACGATGGTTGTCTCGCTCATGATGCCTCCAGTTGTGCTTCTGTTGTCTAGAAATCTGAGCGCCCTGGACGGAAGCAACCGGGCTCTTCGTAACTCTTGTAAGAGACGACAATTTTGTTTACAGACACTCTGGAAATGCGGGGTGATACGGGGCGATAAGACTGAACCTCCGTTTTGCAGGCGGGGACGAGACACTTCATTGGCTTCTGATAGGGCACTAGGAACTCATCTTGTCGGAGATGGCCGCCCTATCGCACAGCATTTCTAATTTTCCTAGCTATGCGTAATTCGATACACGACCACACGCGCAAATCATACTGAGTGAGACCCAGCTGATGGAATTACACCTTAGAGGCATCAAATCTTCTCTTCATAATGGCAGATGCATGGTTCGAAACACTGTCTTTTATATTTGATAGATTTCAACCTCACTCTTTCGGCCCCAGAAGATTTGTGACTTCGATTGGCCTTCTCGGACGAGGGACTTGATCCTTCACGCTACCTTTGCCTGACCCCGCACATAGTCACTGGTTCCCGACCCGACCTCACTAGACAGCTCTTTCAACTAACATACTCTAATATCTATTCCATTGTTTTCGTTGTAAAACTTGATGCGTTCTTCGTTATGTACTTCTCTCAATGACGATGGGTCTGAATTTTGACCCAGAAAACCATGCCTCACCGCAACCATCCATACCACAGGCGCAACGTTGTTCGGAATGCCTCAATATCCCTAACTCAATCCGTAATCATGGATACCGCTCGAGTGACTTCCTGGGTACCGAGACTTTAGAGGCGTCAGGATGGCGTCACTGGTTCAAGCCATCCCTGGACGGACCAGGTGGCTGCAAACATGAAGACCGAGGCACGTTATCGCATCAATGACTCAATCAAAAATCATGGTCAAATTTTCGAAAAGAACAGCCCACCGCTATTTCTACAACTTGTGGTATGAGATCATTTAGGACTACTCCAATCGTCTCCTGACCGAGGAGTCAGACAAGCTTCCAGGCCTCGCTGGATTGGCCCACACTTTGGCAAGTATGACCAGCGATGAGTATTTCGCTGGGCTATGGAAGAAAGACATCGTCAGTGGGCTGTTGTGGAAGATCCGATGATGGAACATGGATGAAGAATGAAGAGTACAAAGGCCGCCAAATTCCAAGACGATCACTCAGGCCTGCTCCTCCCGGTTTCGCTCCTGGTGGCCCTCATGGCGCCATACAGCACACTCGACCTTCATGCTGGAGGGCTCTATCTTGGTCATGAGCGAGTCTCGAAGGGCAAGTCAGACATAGAATAGACTATCGGGGGGCTGAGCAAGATGTCGGCCGTTTCATACCAGAAAACATTGAGATAGACACGTCTTCCTCTCGCTACGCCGATGTTCGTCATTTGTCGCTTGCAGAGACCGTCGCGAATCGCCTGACACTCACAGGATACATTCAATCTTGCAAAACGAAATACTTCCTTCGAAAACTGTTCCTCGACAACTTAGACTCAGACTTAGACTTTTGGAACCAAGGTTACAAAACCCTTCACAAAATATCTGATACATCGACCCCTGATCTATCTTCAGATGAACTTGTCGAAGAGGCTGCCGTGGTTGGAAATTGGAACTACCATGAGAAAATGCACTCGGATCAGGAACAAAAAGATTGCATAGGTGTGATTCAATACGATGTCGTTGACGACATCGTCACGAATCAAACCATTTACGTCCTTGCGCTCCGCCAGCTATAGAGAGAGCCTGCATGGCAGGCGCCATATTACGTTCCTTCGGAACGGGATGAGCGAGGGCACAGGACTCAGCAATACCAAGTGTTTGGTCTTGCTCTCGTACCTACTGGAAAGGCGGATAATGAGTATAGGCGCATGAGTTTTGCGGAGTTCATCACTTCTTCTTGGTTTAAGGAGGATAGTAAAGAAACGGGCACACTCGTCTAGTGTCGTATCACTACACGCCTTCCTACAATATGCTCATATCTCGCATCTTATAGATCCAGGCTGGGTACATGAAACTCCTATGAGTCGTATGAATGTGTTGATACATAACGAGCACGACAGTTCAAAGACTATTGCATTCAGGGAAGAGAATGAGCTAGTACATTAACTCCAGTGCAGTGACACAGTGGTTGCTTCTTCTGCACATGAAATACATACACTTGTCAGCTTGAAAGTGTTCGAATGGCGGCAGGGCAGAAATAATATTGTTATTTTCGTTCTCATCCGGTGTTTGTTTTCTGGGTAACGTTACTGAGAATCACGTCGTAGAGCTCACGCTATTGATTCACTGCCCGTCTTCTTCAAACGAGCATCTAATGAGATCCAGCATTCACCAAATCGCATCCTTAGGACATGATAATATAAAACAGCTGTGCCTCCGACGCTCCCTTGGTCTTTTACTCGCACCATCAACATAGAAACAAGAAGCACATCAAACAACGCAACACTACAGAACCAAATCCCGACTCAAAGGTCTTCAACTCAGAAAGTCACTTCAACACGACCAACCACCAAATCAACACGCAATGTCTTCCTCAGTCCCTGCTAGCCAAAAGTGCTCCAAGTGTGGCGCTGAAGGAGATCACTACGTAAGTAATCGTTTGCATCAACGGAAAACAGTGGTGGATGATAGGGCTAACAAGATATGCAGTCAACCAGCTGCCCTGTGGCCAACCATCCCGACTCCGCTGTCAGACAGTAAACATTTTTCAGTACTTGAGGGTCATGGTGAAGGGCAATTTTTGCACGGAATGAAGACATACCCAGGGTATGCGCATGGAAAGCAAGAGTGGTCAGAAGTCATAAGAAGCAGTGAAATTGAAAAGTTTTAAAATCAAAACACCCCAGTGGTCTTGATAGCAATGCGACTTGTATTTGGATTCAATTCCCTAATTTCTGCTAATATCCAAACTGAGATTACGTAAATCACGGCGTCATGTGGCGAACGTCTTTTGACATTCTCCTCAGGTTTCAACGCTATTCAAAAAATGGATAGAGAAAGAAAACTAATTACGGCTGAATACACCGTCTCAACAGCTCATGTAGACAGCTAATCTGCGTCAGCTAAATTCCACGTTCAACGTGCGATTGCCACTCCAGTGACTTACCATTGGCATAGAGAGAGTAGTTGTCAGCATTTTGTAGCGCACGCTCGGAGGGCAGTGCAACACTCGCGTTGTATGCGTATGCGTAATCATTGGTGTGAGGCTCATATACGGCTTCGCAATGAGTCGTCTCGTGTATGGTAGTCGTGGCCTGGCACTGGCGATGGCAACCCTGAGGCAGCGGAGGCAAGCCGTAAAAGAGAGGGCACATGACCATGGTATTGACGTCCCATGCAGTGTACGCGTTGAGTGGGCCGTCTATTTCGCAGACGCCGTAGTAGTCGTAGCAGAAATACCGAGAGACCCCGGAGTTCGTGGTTGAACATTCTTGCGCGACATTTTTGAGTCTGGTGACGACGATGTTGCGAGTTTCTGAAGAATTGGTCCCGAAGTATTCTACGAACCTCTTTGATGAGGGATCCGCAGCATCGGCAGCGGCCGCCAGGGCTAGCACCTGGCAGTTAGCCAGGGCCTTGAGGCTGGCATCAGAAGTTGTTTCATTGCATCCCGCCTGTACGTTTGTGCGCTCTGCAAGAGCTGGGGCAACCATAAGCCTACTGGCGGCCACTGCATCAACGTCGATATCGATGGCGTTGGATTTAAAAGCAATTGCAGGCTGGTCAAAGGATGTTGACGACGCGAGTCCAACCGGTATCAAACCATCTGCGATGACAGAAAAGCGCCCGGACTTCTCAAAATAGTGCACATTGGCGACGTCGATAGCAACTGCGATAGACTCTCCAGCTGAGAGAAACTGGAAATGATTCGGTCTAAGTGCATCATACTGTATGCTTGGCTCAATACCCCTGAATGAAACGAGGCCTCCTGTTCATCCGTCAGCAACCACTCTGGTGTTTGTGAAGATGCTGCCATACCCGATTGGTCTGTAACAACTACGCGCTGGACTGGAAGCTTATCGTCCAAAATGGTTCCTACTTTGAGCAAGTTGAGATCATCAGCACCGTTATTTTTGATTGTTGCGATGACTTCAGTGGGAGTGCCAGACGTAGATGGTTCCAAGGTAACCTCTAGCCTGGAGTCGCGTTTGTTGAGCCGGATGCCATGGGTGCCTGGGTGAGCGTCGGCAATGGCCAACGCTGAAAGAACGAAAACTTTCTGCCAGAGCATGCTGAGTCCCGCAAAGTGTGTAGTGTCCTTGTAGATGTCAAATAGGCACGAGCGGTCGATCGTCAGATCCTTAAATATCGAATTTTGTCTCCCAATTGCCAGGGCACACATCCTGCCGCGGCCTTGTTTATCTTCCTTATTGAGGAAGGTGGCCGGATGTCTGGGGTTTTGCACTTTAGACGGCCCAATTATGGAAGGCCAAGCTCGTATTCAGATTGGAAATCCATGTTGGGTTGCTTGAATGCCGGCAGAGTGACATCGGCTGGAGTGGGTCTCAGGGGCGATAAGGCCTAAGCTGCGTGTGCTCTCTAGGAGCAGTTGAATACATTTGCGATCATCTTCTTTCCAAAAGGCTTTGAAGAACGGCGGGCTGGTAAAGTCATGGTAATGAATGAGATAGCTGCCGGTAGTTCAAGGTAGAGTTTTGCCCTGCGGCCAATCACCGGTGAAGACTGTTTTCGGCGAGAAACCACATAAGTTGTAGTGGCTTCTTTTTCATAGCCCAGTCACGAAATCGCGTGAATTTAACGTTGTACCACGAACTATAAATCCTGTGATACATCTCTTCATTTCTCTTCCACTACGCTTCGGCAGGGATGGGCCAATTACCTTAGTCTAAGTAGCATTAGCATCTGTGAAAGATTTCCAGAGAGAGGCAAGGTATCAGTTGCGGGTCCGAAAGAGAGTTGAGTCTACAGATGAGTATAACTCCCTGCCCACTTCAACGTTGCCAAAAGCAGCAACGGCAAAACTCGACCTAGCGGAGTGTGGGGATTCCGGGCCGGTCTTTGCGGGCCAGTGTGCGGGGAAGGAGCCGGCTGTTCTCCGGCAATCGCAGAAGCATTGGAGGCGTTACTAGTGTCGCTGGTCAGGTCTCACGGGGAGTATCGGAGCCTGTGAGTTGCTGACACCCCCACTCCCCCACCACCTTGACATCGTGACAATTAGTGGGGTCTGGCTTCATGCTGCTTCACTCTTCACGGGACGGAGAAAACACATATTAGGCCACTCGTTTCCGGGTTTCAGGCGGACCATTCCGTTCCCCATGATGGCGGACTGCTACTCCGCACGCTATTTGACTTGATTTATCAGCTTCAAGCTACATAAATACAACTACTCCATCCACATCTCATCTTCAATTCGATCTGTCGTCCTCCATATTACCTCGACGCCTACCCAAAACACAAGATGTCGTCCGAGACTCCCACCCTCCGATGGGGAATCATCGCCACCGGTCTCATTTCCTCGTGGTTTGTCGAAGACCTGGTCCTTGAGCGTTCCGACGCCAAAGCCAAGCACATTGTCCAGTCTGTCGGATCATCGTCACTAGAAAAGGGCAAGGCTTTCGTCGAGAAGCATCTGCCCGGCCACAGCCCGACTATTTATGGCAGCTATGCCGAAGTTTACAACGACCCGAACGTTGATGCTGTGTACATCGGCACCCCGCACGCTTTCCACAAGCAGAATTGCCTGGACGCGATCAATGCCGGCAAGAATGTTCTCTGTGAGAAAGCCTTCACCATCACCGCCAAGGAGGCACGTGAGGTCTTTGACGCTGCTAAAGCGAAGGGCGTTTTCGTCATGGAGGCGATGTGGACCCGCTTCTTCCCTCTTACGCGGTCCCTTCTGAACGTTCTGCACAACGAGAAGCAAATCGGTGAGATTCACCGTGTCTTTTGCGACTTCGCCATGAACATGAACATCGCTTCTCTCGGCCCCGAATCCCGTTTGAAGAACCCCGCTCTTGGCGCCGGTAGTCTTCTCGACATTGGCGTCTACAGCCTCACGTTCACGATCCTTGGACTTGATCCTGGTGTTGGAGAGAAGGCTGAGAAGCCGAAGATCGCTGCGACTCAAACTCTGTCAGACGATATCGACATTGCGACATCCGCTCTTCTTCTGTATCCCAGCGGACAGCAGGGTATTCTGACTGCATCGACTCAAGTCAAAACACCTCCAGCATTCTGTAGAATCGAAGGCAGCGACGGATACGTTTTGATCGAAGGCATTGCCACATCCGTTCCCGGTTCTTTCACTGTCCATTCTTCAAAGGCGTCTGGTGAGGGATGGACTGAGTCAACCACACCTGGTTTAAAAGCAAAGAAATACGATTTTGAGAGGCCTGGCAAGGGCTTTTACTATGAAGCCGATGCGGTGGCTCTGGACATCAAGGCTGGGCGCAAGGAGAGCGAGATCATGCCGTGGGCTGAGACCATCCGTGTTATGGAGATAATGGACGAGATTAGGAGACAAGGTGGCGCGAGGTTTCCCCAGGATGATCAATAGAGGCTACATATAGAAGAGCCGATTTATAGAAGCTTAGTAAGATAATATGACATCCAGTTGCAGATCATCACCGTAAAACGCCTGTGTTGATAGCGAGACCTGCTGCGTCATATTTTGCTCACAAAGTTAAACCAAGAGCCAGCTAAAGTCGATCTCGCGGCGAATACGAGAAGGCCTCCAATGAAAACAACGACTAAGTAAAGACCCGATAAGGCAGTTGACCCCAGAGAGTCCAGCATCTGGCCGGTGATAGGCATGGTAAGAAGAAGAGAGAAGCTGATGACGAAGTTCATCGTCCCTAATAACACAGTTAGTCGGGTCATTACCTGATCAATTGGCGAGGATACTTGCCGTAATATCTGCCGTAGTCTTTTGGCTCGCACGTCTTACCCATACACACTATCGAGGGCATCAAGGCAAGAAAAGATCAGCCACTAGGATTAAGATGGCACTGGAAAAGGGCCCCAATGCGACTTACCTGGCGTTAGAGACAAAAATGACCCTGTTCCGAATCCCCATAATGCGGAGAAAGCATACAGTGCCTCGATACGACTTGATCCAAACAGGGTCAGTGATGCCGCTGTGGAAATCAATGTGAACAACACCATGACCAACAAGATGTTGAAGTGCCCAACATGGTCGCCCACCAGACCGGGAAGGATGCGCCCAAGAGATGAAAGGCCGTTGAGAATCGCGACCATGTTGTAGCCAGACTCCACAGGAAACCCGGCCCATGCAACAAGAGTTGGCAATATAGCTGTAGCGCCGAATATCACAAACTCCAGGAGGAATATAGCACATGTGATAAGAGAGAAGGGCACCGAACGAAACGCTGAAAAGTCCATTGCTGCACTCTTCTTGCTGAGGCCAATGGATCGAGTGTCGTCCTCAGCTTTGGAAACCAACCGAGAGAACGGCGAGAGACAAGCCATACCCAGCAACATGATTCCTAGGACGATGAAGCCGAGAGCCCTCATGGACCATCTCCATCCCCACATTGGGAAAATTTGTCGCAAAGCTAGAGGGAATATGATACCTCCGGTGGAGGAGCCCGCTAGTGCGATCCCCATTGCTAGGCCCCGTCGACGATGGAAGGTCTTGCCTATGACGGCGATGCCGATAGTTGTGGAAAATGCATTACCAATCCCGCCCAAAACTCCTAAACACAGAATGAAATGCCAGTAGATTTTGCACTCAGCCAGCAAGAAAAACATCGGGACCGTACACGCAGTTGCTAGCGGTGCTAGATATGTTGTCCCGAAGACGTCTACGAGCGGACCGGTCTGAATCCCGAGGAACATGGTGAGAAATGTGTAAACACCCGTAATCCATCCAATATCCCGAGCGGAATACTGTTCAAGCTGGTTCTCTTGGAGATATACTTGTACAGTTCCTACGGATTGGATGAAGCCTGCATGATTGGTATTAGCCATATGTGACCCGAAGCAGAGACATCGGCATTTGGTAATTACCGAATGAGGGCATTAGGAAAAGGAAAGACCCGATAACACATATCCATGCTGATCGTTGTTTCTCGGCCACAAATTCGTCCTCTATAATGGCGTTCAGGGCCTCGGACTGGTTCTCGGGCGGTTCTTTTGACGTATGATCTGTGTTCAGAATACCACGGTGTCTTGCCGATGTTGCCATTGCTCTTGATAACATGAGAGTAGACTCGAAACCATTCTGCCATAGTGCCCGAGTCTTTCGATCAGGACTACAAGTAACAATTTGGATATTGTCAGGTCTTTCAAACCTGGCCGCATACAAGGCGTTTCAATGGTAACAGCGGAGTTGGCGGAGTTAGTGTGGGGATCCTAGGCAGATCGGCCCCGGGTGCCGACTGGTCTCAGACCGGCGGACAGTTGTTCCTATTTGGGACTTGAGTTAGGCGAAGCTTTCCCGAAGTCGATTATATTAGTTGAGAACAAGTGTCACTTTACGCCAACTGGAGGCCAGCTGTCCTGGTTTGTCACAGCGAGGGTCTCTTCGCAAAGTTTGGGTAGGCATTGGATCTCCTACGTTTCCAACAGCTTTGCCGTTTTGCAGCTTCGGCCTTTGTCATTGAATGATTCCTTGAGCACGAAATTCTTCCTGGGCAGGCCACTGAGAACTCGAATCCTTCAAAAAAGCTTCTAATATTCCTTAGTCACATGGTGATGTAATTTGTGCTAAATAGCGCCACGAGAAATCGAGTAGCCCCGGATCACTACATCCTCCGTTCTAGGAATGCCGAACTGAGCTACCGCGCTCATAATACCTTATTTCTGACTTGTACGATCACGTTGTACAAAGACAGTAATGGACACATTGAGGTGGTAAGGCGGTTAGCTTCCCGCCTAGGTACATCAAGCCCCTCGGGGTTTGAAGGGGAATGACGACGGCGGGTCGATGGACTGGCTATTTTTACTTCAAATGGTTTCGTCGAGCGCTTGGATAGTTCGCCCAGTAAGATATCAAAGTGTCCTTAATTGTATGGGATGTAATTTGCGGACATTTTAGAGAAGCGTGTAAGTCGGGTCTTTAGCTTACAGCAGCAACACTGGCATCGCAGCGCCTACTCACAAGCCCCCCGGCACGAACTGGCGACAGTCTGATTTCAGACACCTAACTTCGTTATGGGCATTGAAAGGTCTCTCAGCAACCAGCAGGTCGAATCGAATCACCAGCGCACGCCTGACCAGGAAACAGGTTCGCTTGGCCCTGACAGCCGCATTGAGCATGCGTATCTCACATTCGACACACGGCTTCCAGAGCCTGTCTTACAATCACAATCGCAACCTGAAAACACTCCTCCTCATCCCAACCTTCAATTGTACAACTCCCCTCTCGAATGGTCTCCGGCTCGAAAATGGCTTCTGCTCACACTCGCCTGCACCGCGACATTCCTCACCTCGTATACCGCAGGCGCTTACGCTCCGCCGATACCTCTGATGCAAATTGCATTCAACTCGTCGCATCTCGCTGTCCTAAGCGGATTGACGACATTCACCATCGGTTTCGCTATATCGCCAATGGTACTCGCTCCTTTCTCCGAAATCAACGGCCGATACCCTGTCTTTGCTGCCAGTGCTATACTCTATACTGCATCCCAAATCGCGTGTGGGGGAGTGACCTCTCTCGCAGGCATGCTTGTTGCGCGTTTCTTCACAGGCGTAGGAGCCAGCGTTTTCAGCACCATGATAGGGGGCTTCATCACGGATCTCTGGGCAAAAGAGAACCGCAACACCCCCATGGCTATCTTCAGCGGCGCCGGCATTGTGGGAACGGGGGCAGGCCCAATGGCCGCTGCTGCGATCGTACACTTCCATGGCAATGAGCAAACTGGAGCTGGTTGGGAGTGGATATTCTGGCACATGGCCGTCTTGACAGGGGCAACAGCTGTCTTGCTGTTAGTTTTTATGCGCGAGAGTCGAGGCCCAGTGCTTCTGTCTTTCTTCCCTTCTAACTTTTTCTTCGCAGTTTGCCGCCTAGAGGCGCACCTTGTTAACTGCCGTATAACTCTCACAGGGAAATATTCAAAAGCCAGGATAGCTCACAAAGAAACCTCTATAGCTACCTATAGGGGTATATAAAGAGAGCGTAAATCGCCTTATATATAGGGAGTAGGTATCTCCCTCTTTATACTACTATAACCTATTATACTAAAATACTAAAGTAATACTATATTTACTACTTCTATAACTACCTTAAGAGTAGTAATAGCTTTACCTAGTTTATTAGAAAAAAAGAGGATAATATCTATAAGTTTTAAAGTAAATACCCTTTCCCTTAGAAATATAATAGATTTAAAGAAGTATTATTCTTCTATTACCTACTAATATATATTATCCTCTACTAATATAGTTATTATAATCTATCTCTTCTTAAAATATTTAATAAGTTTAAAGATATCACTAAAGTATTTAAAAATAATAAGATAACTAATAATTAATACTATAAAATAAACTAGTTAAACTATCTAAAGTAAGAGAGCCTATTAGTAGAACTCAAAGTAGTACTATAGCTCAATAGGGTAGTAGTTAATAAGGGTAGTTAGATATATAGGGGGTGGTTAGAGTAGGGGGGTCCTCTCATATATCCCTGGTCATACAAGTATTCACAAAAGAATTCTTCACAAAACGCCAGTGCTTCTGTCCAGAAAAGCAAATGCACTAAACAAATGGTACGAGAAGCTGGAACAGCGAGGAGCATACGGTGTCGTCTTTCCGCATGTCGAGCCAGATGTTGGGAGCACATCACTAGGCCTAGGTTCGCGACCTAGGAGAATACGATGGGTTGTCAAGGAAGATGAGGACCGAGTTTCCATCAGCCACATGATTACCATTTCTGTCTGCCGACCGTTTCATCTTTTATTCACTGAGCCAGTTGTCTTCTTCTTTGCGCTGTGGCTGTCTTTTGCCTGGGCAGTTCTGTTTCTTACCTTCGAGTCGATCGCGATCGTATACGAGCGCGTTTACAACATGTCTGCTTTCGAATCAAGCCCAGCGTTCTCCAGCCTAATCGTAGGTGGTACTATCGCGACGATTCTGTGCATCTGGCTAGAAAGCCTCCTGCATATACCCCAATGGCAGGCTGAACCGGCAAACCCGACATATGCATACTCCAACTTCTGGACTTTCATGAGGCGCCACTTTCCAGTCGATGTCCCTGAGTCTCGACTTTACTTCACCTGCATCACGACTCTATTACTTCCAATTGGCCTGTTCCTTTTTGGCTTCCTTTCACGGCCAGAGATACATCATGCTGTGCCGGCTGTGGCTATAGGTATCGCGACTATCGGCATCTACTCCGTCTATCTAGCAACCTTCAACTACATTGCCGATACCTACGGGCCGTATGCCTCATCTGCGCTGGCCGCTCAATCATTCTGCCGAAATATCATGGGCGGAACCTTTCCTCTCATTACCACTATACTCTTCCAAAACCTTGGAGAAAAGCGCGCAGGTGGGCTCTTAGGAGGTATCGCAACTGCACTCGGCATCGTCCCGTGGATGTTAGTATTCTTTGGCGAACGCATCCGCAAATGGAGCAAGTTTGCCCAGGTAAGCAAGCATGCCACAATATTTTCCCTCTTGTCGAGGCTAACCTCGCTCCTGAACAGGCACTCGAGAAATCGTAATTGCAGACAGAACCGTTGTATATCACGAGAGAAGAGAGAATGCTTGAAGAGAACGGAAGAGATGGTGGGTCTCTTGGTCATGAATCAAAATGGTCGTGAGTCGCAACACGAAAGCTGGACGCTATAAGCCATGCAGGCAAAAGGATGCCGGCATGGCATAGTCTACCTTCTCGAGCTTGGAACCATCTCGGCAGGATTTTCTGATTAAAAAAACAAACTGAATACAACTCAAGAGCCGAGCCATCAGCGCGGGAGATCACCACTCTGCCGCCCTGGCATATTTCTCCGCAAAATTCTCCGGGGCCTTACCTTTAATAGGCCTTTGCCGATGACGAGTGATCGCGTCATTGCAGGGACCCCAGATTCTATTCGACGAGCTCCCATCTTGACTCGCCAGATGGCTGTCAACCAATATCCAGAGACGACACAATTTCCCAACGGAGTCGTGCTCCGACACCTCGGCATCTCCAAGGCATGATGTTCGGCGAATTGAGGCTCATCTAAACCGTGATCATGAGGGACGTCTTGGACGATGTAGACGTTATATAAACTTGTCGTAGATTCTTCTCGTTGCCAATCAAAGGCACCAAGCTTCCAGTGTTAGTTTTCGCTATTCCCCGCAGATCCTCTTGTATAATGTTGCCCCAACTCTCTTTTCTCCTGGCCCTGCCCCTGTTGGCGATCGCCGTTCCTTCACCAGCGCCCCTCGAGCACAGCAAGAGGGCCATAACTTGCCTGAAGGTCGGAGCTACTGCAACCGCCAGATGGACGAACAGTGCCGGCAAATCATGCACTTTTACCGGCGTGGTCGGTAGCAACTATGGCACTAACCCTTCCGGCTCCGGGGAGTAAGTGAAGTCTCTCTCCGGGCACGACCTTATCATTTTTTTACTTACATGGTTGTTGATAGCTACTCTTGCAACGGTCGCTGTGGTGCTGGCTGCACTGGTGCTTCTTTGGGCAATGCATACACTCAAGACTGCTTCTCTCATGACATCTGCTCCTACTTTAACAGTGCTAGTGGCGGCGCAAGGTAAGTTACTCATCCGCCCCGTGTAAGCTAGCCCATGATTCTGATAGCAGTCGATAAGCGATCCCAACTGCGGTGCTGCCTACAATGCTGCGGTTGATGATACCACTCTCGGCGTTGTGAATGGTTGTGGACAGACGAACCCGTCCAACGCCGTATCCAAGCCTTCCACGAGCCCGGTCTGTACTTAGTAGAGAGACAGAAGCATGGGCAAGCCCATCATTGGCGGTTGTGATGACTGTGTGGATATGATAAGTTGCAAGAGAAAGGTTTGGGGTCTGCACATATGATAGTTTCTGTAAACAATTGATATTAATCTACTCTACATACAAAAGTCGAATACAGTCTTGAAGAACTTTGATAACACATTTTTGGGGGTCTCCCAGCGCATCCTAGTACTCTCTAGTACTTTTTAATATCATCACAATTATCTCTGTGCGAGGCATTAACAGGAATAAGAGAACGGAAACGAAGGAAAAAAGACCAGCTTGATGCTGTTTTTAGCGGCCAGCATGGTCATCTCTGTACTTTGGGTAGTCGAAGAAATCATCAAAGATCTTTTCGGTGCCGGGAGAGTAGGAGAAGGTGATCGTAGGGTCCTCTCCGTTGACTGGGTTGGGAAGGGAAGGTGTATCTTCTCCTACTTGCTGCGAGGAGCCGTCGGTGAAGTCCATCGCAGTCTGATCATGGTCGTGGAAAGGGATGCTTGCAGAAACGCCGGCATGGCTTGGTCGTAGATCGCCTAAGTACCGGACAGGCTCAGAACCTGACTGAGAGCTTGCAACGATCTCGGGTCCGTAGTGCAGGGCGCCAGATCTCGTCAAACGAGCAGCATCCGAGGCAGTGGCGACGTAACTGTGCTGGGCATGAGGCTGTTGGTAGAAGCCGTACAGAGAGCCGTCGAACTCTTGGATGGCGCCAGCTTGGTTGAGGGAAGCCGGTGTGAAGCCAAAGAACGGATCGTGGGCAGAGAGTTCTTGGGCATTATCGTAGATTCCAAGGTCGTGTTGCATAGACCGAGGGCCGTTGTTGGACTTTAAAAGGAGGTCAGCGTTGTACATTATGGTCAGGACGACGTGGTACCTGGCGGAGGACGTTGGCAGGCCGAAGACCGTTGAGTTGAAGGACCTGAGGGTTCACGTAGCGCGGCGGCTGAATGAGGCCGGTGGTCTGAGGCTGAGCGTTGTTTCCGACAGAGTTCCTGGGGCCTGCGTACAGTGGGGGCAGGGCTGGGCGGGCGATGGCACTCATGCCAGACTCCCGCCGAGCAGCCTCGAGCTCGAGTCTCTCGTCCTCCTCTTCATCCTTCGCCGTCATGTCTCTAGCTTGTGCTTCCGAGCAACGTGCCTTCTTGGCGGGCGGCTTGGTTTGGTCGTCCTTCTCGCGTGCTCTTTTGGCTGCTTTGAGCTTTCCGGCCTCGTCAGTCTTGTTGCCAGATTCTGCAGCTTTGGGGAACCTCGTTGGGTGAGGACTGTTGGAACCGCTCAGGATGTCGCGAAGACGAAGTACCATCGGCAAGACATGACTGCTGTTCTTCCATTGCGGAGTAAGGTTTTGAGGCTCTTGGTTGCCACTGTCGATGTCCTTGACGTGAAGCAAGATTGCCGCGTACCAGAGATAGTTCTCGTGACGGTCACAACCGACCATCATTTTCTCGCGACTTGGGACTTCATAGTTGACGAGGTGCTGCAGTATCCGCTGCTGTGAATACAGCTTAATATACCTGCCCCTGGAGTCATTCCTGTTGAGCGTCTGGAGGAGGAAGAGAGCATGGCGTGTTCGAGGCGCGCCGTTGAAAGGGAATCTGTTGATAGCTTTGGAAATCTGGGCATTCATCTCCTCTGCAGTGACATGCTTTTCGTCGTCTCCAGGATTCTTGTCCTGGCCATCGTCCAGGGCGCTCTCCTCTCTGCGATTGCCCTTGTCATTGTTCTCATGACCCTTGCGCTCGTCTCTCGGAGCCTTGTCGTTTACGTAGTCAGCCATTGTGATTTCCTCGCTTTGCTGTCAGTATCGTAAGCCTTTTGGTGTGGAAGGGAATGGTTGAGGGTCGAATTTGATGGAAAACGCGTCAAAAGAATTTTGTAGGGGACCAGCAAATTTGGCGAAAAAAAGGCTGAGGACGAGAAAAGAATTTTCACAGCAGCAGGGAGTCGAAAGATACCAAGTGAACGGGAAGAAGCAGAATACACATGGCTCGGGAGCTATCTGTATGTGTGTCTGGTCTTTGAAACAGCGCTGGATGAGGGCCAGTCGGGCAGTGAGTGTGCAGACCATGTCATGCCTTGCTCAGTCTCATAGTCCCTCCTCCGACTTGGGTTCATCGACCTTCAGCTTTGAAACTAATCTCGACATCATGCCAACTCAACCTGTTTCACTCTTCCCTCCTTCGTCACCTCATCGACATCCGCTCCCTCGATATCCTTCTCCTTGCCCTCAGGCTTGCCCTCGAAGACCTCTCTGATTTCCTCGAGCGTGTGGCCCTTGGTCTCGGGGAACAAGAACCAAATAAGGCCCAGCAACAGCCCGAGAATACAGCAAAACACGATGTAGTACTTCCAAGCTATCGACTTCATCGCGATTGGGTTGACCTGGTTGCCAATGATGAGACCAGTAAACGCGGTGATGTACGTAACCGAGAGACCACGACCACGTAGAGTATAGGGGAAGATTTCGACCGGGTATGCTTGCAAGAGTGGCGTCCACGCAATATCGTAGAAGAAGTAGAAGATGAAGATGAATCCCACAACAGCTCTTCCAGTCGCCTCGTTTTTGCTCGTCACGAAGTAGGACGTCAGGCCGGTCCAAATGATATAGCTGGCAAGCATGCCTCCTGTGGAAATGAGGAACAATGGGCGGCGTCCGAGACGATCCACCATGAGGGCTCCGAGGAAAGTCGAAATGATCCAGTTGAAAATTTGCAGCAGACCGTTGATGAGAGTCTGATCCTTAACCTCCGTTATGCCGATCGTGTTGAGGACAAGCGTCAAGTAGTAAGAAACCACAGCCACACCGTTCTGCGCGGAGTTAGCAAGTTGTAACGAGTATAACTGCAGAAAACCACCAACCCATTGACTAAAGAAGCCGACGATCACTGCAAGGAGGGTTCTCTTGCGGTTCGCAGGGGTTCGGACAAGCTCCATCCAGGAGGATTGCGACATGGCTTCAGCTTCGGCGTTGAGGGTTTGCTCGACTTCGCGCATTTCGAATTCGACGAGAGGGTTGTTTAAATCTCCGCCCGCATGGTAGTCTGCAAAGACCTTCCGGGCTTCGTCTTTGCGGCCACGGCTCATGAGCCAGCTACGTGTAATGAACGTCAGTTGCGGTCAGCATGTTTTAGCGTGTCAGTCTTGAGCTTACCGAGGGGACTCTGGAAGGAAGAAGAGGCCGAGCAGCTGAATAACCGGAATGGCGCCTTGCAACAGAGATGGAATTCTCCAGCTCCACGCTGTAGGATTCTTGAAGGTTCCGTATGTGCACCACGCAGCAAAAATAGATCCGAAGTAGCTTGAAGTATGTCAATGATCTGCCAACGAAGGTCTGCAGCCGTCTGACTCACAAGAAAGTGTTGTAAAGTGCCGTGACCTTGCCTCGCTGGGGCGGGTAGGCCAACTCTGTGATGATGATGGGGCTTGGCTGGCTGATGAAGGTGGTGAAAAAGCCGAGGAGAGCTCTTGCGGTAACAAAGCTTGCCAAAGAGGGAGATAATCCCTGGAGGATAGCAAATCCGATACAAGCTACCAATCCAATGCCGAGAGGCAGCTTGCGGCCCCAGCGATCAGAGATATAGGTGACAAAGAACAGAGCAACGACTTTGCCGAGCGGGTAGACCGCATTCATGAGACCAAGGACCGCGCCCTCGGGGTTTCCAAAGAACCCACGCCATTGAGGAAGGGTTTGGAGGCCGTTCATCATCGAGCCTGCATCGAGACTGTTAGCTTACGTTCTCAATTTGCGGAAGACATCAGTTGATTTCGTACCATCATAGCCAACTGAAGCGGAAGAAAACAGGGGAACAAGTAGGCAGAGATTCAGTTTAAGCAAGTGCGATGTTCGGTACCATGGTTTTGGGTTCGCTGGAAGGACCTAAAACGCTCTCGTCAATTTGAGTGCTCGATGTCAAAGGATGGTGCTGCAAACTCACAGCTGCGAGTGCTGAACCAACAGCAAGCTCCGTCTCCTTCTTTTTCCCGAAGACACCCATGATGGCCTAGGATGTTTTCACCAAAAGTTGGAGAGTTTTGCAGAATCTTCTTCAGCAAGATCGTCGTGACCAGGTGCGAGCAATTTCGGCCGAGACAAGCGACTGCAGGACGTCCAACTGAGAGATTCAAACTCCATCAACAAGAGGGGAACCATGCCATTTAACTGCTCGCCAACTATGCCCATGTCCGCCTAACCAACATCACGTTTCCCAGCCACCGAGGTTCGAGACTCTCGGCACGTCTCCACGGTTCCATCCTACCCCAGACAATCTCCCCATGGGGTAAAACGGGAACCGGAACTCGGGTGCCAAGATGTCTGGAAGTCGGAAGCCAGGATAGCTCCGGGTAAGGGTTCGGCATCCATCAGCTCCGATACTCCCCGGCCTGTTTCGACCAAATCGGCAATTGTGGCTCGGGCCCGATACTCCGCAGGCCACGGCCTTGTCTCGGGGAGTGTCGGCGGAGACAGTCCACAGTTTCCCCAGTGGCTTCTGGCAAGTCATTGGACGACAACCACGAGACGGATCATCCTTTGGTCCATTCCCACATGCATTTGTCATATTGAGGCTCTTCGGAGGGGTTTTGAAGATATCAAACGCAATCAGAAAGATTCGCCTGCATCGGCTCCCACACTATCGACGATAGCATCACTACTTAAAGTGTGCCCAACGACCCCCTCTAATTCTGATGATCTAACCCAGATTGCAAGTCACACCGAAATATATCGGGAACTTACGACTGAGATCATTGGCCATAGAAGAGCTACTAGTCAACCTATCAACTGGATCTCATTCAGCTCTCGAGACTTTCATCATGGCCGCCCAACGGATCCTCAAGGTCGGCATCATTGGCTGCGGTGAAATCACCCAGGTCGCTCACATCCCCAACATCAACTTCCTTTCTCAGTACTTCCAAACAACATACCTCTGCGATATCTCTCAACAAGCTCTCCAACACTGCGCCAGAAAGGTCCAGGGTGGAAGGCCGAAGACAACCAATGATGCCGCCGAACTCTGCTCCTCGCCCGACGTTGATGTCGTGGTGATTGCCAACGCCGACGCCTACCACGTCAAGCACGGCATCCTGGCCTTGAAGAACGACAAGTACTGTCTACTCGAGAAGCCAGCGGCGCTCTGCTTCCGCGATATCGATCTTCTTGTGGAGACAGAGAAGAAATCAAAGGGAAAGATCATGGTCGGCACCATGCGCCGCTTCGCTACCGCCTTCACGGACGCCGTCAAGGAGGTTGGCGGTATGGAGAAGATTCAGTATGCCAGAGTCAGAGATATCATTGGGCCCAATTCGACCTTCGTCGACCAGTCCGGCACATTCCCTCAAAAGTTCAACGACTTCAGCGCCGCAGATACCCAGGACCGTGAGAGCAATGAGAAGGACATCTTTGAACATGCTCTGATCAACGAGTTTGGTGTCCCAGCAACACCTAAGTCGAAGTTGATGCTGAGACTCTTGGGAGGGTATGTTATTGCCAACTTCATAATGTCAAGGTGGTACTGACTGATCCACAGACTCGGAACCCACGATCTATCCGCCATGAGAGAGATCATCGGCATGCCAAAGAGCGTCGCCGGCGCGCACCTTTCCTTCCCTGGAATCTTTGCCGCTCTGTTCAGATACGACGACTTCCCCGTCACCTACGAATCTGGCTTCAGCAGTGTCCCCCAGTTTGATGCTCACATTGAAGTCTACTCGCCTAAGAAGATTGTTCGCGTCGATTTCGACACTCCCTATGTGAAAGGTTTGCCGGTCACGATGACGATCCGAGAACTTGTAGGCGATGCTGGTTTCCAGGAGCGCAAGGTCCGGAAGACCTACGTAGACCCGTACACGACGGAGTTCTTGGACTTTTATGACTGCGTCGTGAACGGCAAGCAGCCAAAGACGAGCGCGGCTGACGCGAGGAATGACATTGAGCTTTTTAAGATGATAATCCAAGCCGACGCTGGAAGGTACGAGAGTGAGAAATAAGGGGGTTTAATAGATAGTATGAGGCTTCCAACAACCGTGTGTATTTAGACCACGCATCCACCCTGTGTCGGGTTTGATCATAGTATATCAGGTTGTTCTCATCACTCAAGCAATCTTTATTACATTAACCGAACGCCGAGCCGCCTTTCATGCCCCTCCCATACCCGCTACTTTGTTTCCATTGACTGATTCTGCTGTCCATGCCCTCTCCTTAACTAGAAACCTCAACTCTCTGGGAGGTTCATTCGTACTGGTTATACGAATAACTGGGGTGGATTTCGGTCTTGATTTCCCCCTCCACGACTTGCCTCAGACGCGTCATTCTCCGCGCAAGTTTCGGATACCCAATGAACTTGTCCCAATGAGCCCTCATATATTCTGGTCACAAGCCCGCATCACGATGTGTTACCGCACGTCCCAACCGGATCCAAAATCCATCGACACACCAAGCTCCTTGGCTTCGGCGTAGAACGAGCGCTTCTTTCCAAGAAGCGCCTGGTGAACCTTGTTAGAAACTTCTGAACAGGCATTTGGGACGGTTAACATGTCATCGGGACTTACAAAAACACAGTGATGTGCTCTACGCGAGGCGTTTAGTATCCTTGGGTACAATACCGTTTCATGGATGCGGACCTGTATCCTGCCACCCCCTCATCAACGGCCTGCTCATGGCTGAGTGAGGTCGGCCTACTATTCCAGGAAGAGTCACAAGAAGTCGGCTCGAATGAGTTCTCGGGCGTGAGAAGGCCAGTTGGGTTTGTTCCACTGGTGGATCCGGCTGTACCGTTTGGCGGCGTGGTGATGCTGGCAATGTCACAGCGAGAATCCCGACGCTTTCTTTCGGGCCGATCGCAGAGTTGCAGCAGCAATACCCCTCCCTCAACCTCACGAAGGACGTCCTCAGCAGACGCGCCCGACCGAATTCTTCTGAGCACCTCATGGGCCTGGAACTCAGGCATGGACCGGATTGCGCGAAAGAAGCCGTTCAGGCAGTCATTCTGGCGCTCTAGTTCGGTAAACTTCCTTTTCATTGAGGCGCTGCGCGACTCGGAGGGGTCGGCGGTGTACCGACAGTCGAACCCGCGACTCGTGCATTGAGAGCATTTTGGACGGTCGGCGGAGCACTTGTCGGAGACGAGCAGATTAGGGCGCGATGTCTTCAACAAGGATGAGGTTCAATGGGGGATCGGGGCAGCGAACTTTGGTTTTGCGCTTCTTGCAACTCTCGCAAGCTACCCAGACATTGCGCCGGGCGGGTTTCTGGTCAGATCGTGGTGACGATGCATGGTGTGGATTGCGCGGTGACGTAGGCGAAGTGGGAATAGCGTCGGGTTCAAGAGCGGGACGGATCTCCCGGTAGCAACGGTTGCTGGCCATGTAGTCGTCCGTCACGGCTAAAGATCATGTTTTGGATGAGAGAGGAAGGAAGGGTTTCTTTCAATGGGCAACGACGAAAGAAGTGAATTGGAATGGATTTTTGGGGGTCTCCTATCGATTTCTTTTCGAAAAGGTCCAGGCCAGCCTCGTTCGATTGGACAGCGGATACACGGTGCAACAGATGCTTTTTCAATCCCACCGTTCCAGACGGGCCTTCTCCATCTGCGCGTGACGTAAATCTTATCTTCTGTCACTGTTGCATCGAGATCGAACTGGAGGATACACCATTTCCTCAGAGTCGCGTGTTCATTGGCTGCGTGGGTGAAACGGGGTCAGCCTGTGTCACGGCGCCGCGGGCGCCCATGCGGAAAAGGGCGATGAGAGTGAAAATTGAGATGGGGAATCGGGGATCGAGATTCCTATCAGAATTAGGTGGTCTCCGGAAGCGATTCCGTTCGCACGTGGAGCAGCTGGACGAGACTGCGAAGCCGTTGGATCAGATGACGTCTCACGTGGAGAGCAGGAGGAGAAGAAGAGTGGGTGTTGAAAGGCTCTCCATTTCTGCATCATGCTTCAATCATCTTCTCTTAATGTTTGCTCATGTTTGTTCTCAACTTAAGAGACCTTATATAACACATCATACCCAGTATATGCAAGACAAATTGAAGCGAAAGTCGGAAACTTACCTAAGATGAGAGCCTGGTGAGTTTGTCGGACAGTAGAGTGAGGTGAGATCAATCGGCCGTCATCTGTGTCTCACCCATCAATCAAATTCACTCGCGAGTGTCACCTCACTTTAAGACTGTTCGTCCACCCGTCCCAGCAAACACAAGTGAACACAGACGGCCCTGATGATCTCTGCCTTTTTGAGCCCACGAGCTCATCCAAGCGACTCACTGGCAGAGTCCCGTTCGTCCATGGATTCTCGCTCCCAATTGACCCATTCGGATCATGTGCCCCGGTGGACCAGCGTAACATTCATCACTCTGACATCTCACTCGTTCATCTCGTGTCTGCAGTCCCAGCAAACAAGGTCAACAAGGTCAACCCGGCCGGTGAAGATGAGCCGACGGTTGTCTGCTAACCCCTCTGCCAAGCAGTCGAGTTTACTTGGCTCATCATGACCCCATTCACACAATCCAAACGGTCACTTTTCATTACCAACACCAGCGTTAACTCTGTCAACAACACCAACGGCTGCCAAGCCAGCCAACTCCTGTCTTCCCTCGTCCGCAAGCCCTTCACCGCACCGAAATGACATCAACCCCAGGCGAACCCCGGCGCCAAAAGGGCATCGTTTCCAGGGCGCGGGACAGAAGGATGCGACGCTCCAGACGCTAAAACCCCGCACGCCATCGCCCACTTCACCCGCATCAACTCACGGTAACACCACAACCCCTGTACTCCGAATGCCCCCCCTGGGCCTCCCAAGCTTCTCCTAGCTCCAACTGGGAAATACTTCATATGAAAGCTGATGAACCTTCCATAGCTTCCCCCGCACCACCGCGCCCAACCCTCACCAACGGGAAAATTCTCCAGCTTTCGTCCAGCTTGGCATCCCCAGCCACGATCATCCGCTCGCTGCAGACTCCCAAGCTTCCCACGCCGCCTCTCAATGGCCCGGCACAGAGTCTTC